GGTTCCTCTCCCTCTTCCTGCATTTTCTCACAAAATCCACCCCCTCCCCAGATTTCACTGTTCAGGATAATAATTTATTTTGTTTGGTGTCCAGGAAAAAAACTTCATATAATGTTGTGGCCATAAAATGATGAGAATGACCCTAAAAGAGGTGTCTGAACTCCAGCTGAGTCTTTGAGTCACTCCTCAAATACAAAGAGATGAGGTCTTCTCTAAGGGGCATGCTGAGGGATGAGGCAGTTTACATGGGCTAATTGAAGGTACCTTTTTTCTTCTTTAGATAAATCATGTTTGGAGGGGTATGAGTTGCATGGAGTATTTGAATATCTGCAACAATAATGAGCATATTAAAATGAAAATATAGACAGTGAAAAAGTTAATAATATTAGACTAAAACAAACCTAGGGAGAATGTTTGTTGGTTATAAAAAATGACTTAAACATGAGATTGCTAATGGAGATGCTAAGTTCAAGCAAGCCAGTAATTTCACAGCTCCATATATTTTAGATGAAGCTTCCTGTAAAGACTGCATCATTAGTATACTCTTAATTCAATTTAGGCTACACTTATGGATATGCTTCCATTAAGATAAAAGCTTGTGCCCATCCATTTCACACTGTAAACTATAATTTCCATTTTACTTCCTATACAGTTACCACCAGAGCACTGCACTTAGCATGCATCCTGCTGACGCAGAAGAAATATTTCTTTTCAAAATTTGTTTAAAGAAAGAGGAATAAGAAACTGCATAGAAAGGGGACCTATTTTTTCACAAACTGAATACTAGAGAAAGACTGAGTTACAGAATAATCTATTCCTCTGACCCTGTCAAGGTATCTCAGTAGCCTCAAAGAAAAAAACGAAAAAGTACCACCTGGCTCCTCTCCTACCTCTCCGTGAAACACCAGAAATATTTCACTCAGGACTTCGGTCTATTGAGACGGTTTTTTTTTCCTTTGGCCTCTGAGAAGATAAAAAGGCTTGTTATGGAGAAAACAACTTTGTTTTCTAAAAAGGAAGGAAACTTTCTGGAGGATAGGGCTCCAAACCTGGACCTGGTTAAGGGCTGTCCCCTCTCATACCGCCACAGGACCAGGAAGACAAGTCAAAGTTTGTGGACCTCAGGGACTTTGCGGAAGAGACCCCAGAGTGGATACAAAGCTCTAAGCCACCTGAGTATGATGGTTTTCCTCCCATTCACCTTCCTGATACTTAGCAATTCCATTTTTTTTCTTCTAATCACTCGCATCCTTACTCACTCTGTGACTATGGGCAAGTAATTTTACATCCAGATACTTTTATCTCATCTCTGAAAGAAAACCAACGCAAGGTAATAAAGAGTCTCTCTATAACTCTAGTATGATATAATAGGATTACATTCCAGATTGTCTTAACCTTAATACTTAGGTTGACTGGGCAACCATTTAGATCCTATTCCAGAACCCCTCCAACTCATTCTCACATTGGCATTTCCTTAGTTCTACTCCCTCTTCTCCCTTTAAAATCAAATCATTGCACCACTCAAAATCTATTGAGTTGTCGGAAAAGTCATGATGCATTTTTGCAATGAAAAACATAGAAAAAATACGTCATGACATTTTTGACAACCCAATACAATTGCTTTTTCCTAGTACATCAAGTCAAACTTCAAACAAAAAATTCAAAACCATCTTTTAGTCCCTTGCAGCACAACACCCATTTCCCAACTACAGCATAACAAGCACACTACATTAATTTCTGTCTTCTGGGTTTCTTGCATGATTATTTCCTCTTTACAAGCTCGTTTGCAGTCTTCCTATTTGACTGGATCCCTCTTTCCCAAAACAATTCACCAAATTACTCTGGTCTTCCACTTATCCACTGCCTTAGAATTCTCTCAGCACCAGATCAACAGTACCAGGCTCTTCAGTATAGTCTACTTTGTACTCTCAGGTCATTGATGTGTTTACTTGTCTCTTCAAACAGTGGAGGCTTTCAGACAACATAAATTTTATCCTAAAAAATCTGTGTACTTTCTCACGGCATCACTTCATGCAAGACCAAACACTTGGAAACCTGATGTATGCACATATATATTTTTCTTCCGAACGTAGGCCAAACTTCTTCCACAAACAGCAAACTTATAGTAAGCTGGGTTTTTCTTTTCAAGTGTTTTTTTTTTCTTTAAATGGAAGCATGTAATATTGTGACACACGTCCCAAATATTTTATTTGTATTATGAAGCATGCTCCTACTGATGGAATTAAGCCTACAAAAATCTGATTGTTGTATAAAATGTTCATTTTAATGTCATCATTTTATGATATTAAGGTAAAAGAAAAACCTACGATCTTTAAAATGTAACAGTATTAGCCTTTGTGCGTGTTGTAGGCTTTGGAGTTATTCCCACACTCCTGGTTATCACACAGCTGTTAGCTCGTGGCTATTCTGAAGTTGACCTCGTTCCCAGCCTTATACAGGTGTATATGGTTCCAGGTCATTAAGCAAATGGCCATTAACTTCATTAAGCAAAACCTGGTCAAACTAAGATATGGCCTGACCGTCTTTAGGGAGGCATTCTGAGGGATGAACAATAAAGATGGTGAGCCTTAGCCCACCCAGCGTATAGACTTTGTGCCAGGAAATACACGTACACCTCAGGTAGTCCTCTCCTGAGGATCTAATGAACTCATCTCTCCATCACGTGGAAGTGGCTTATAAACCTACGGGACATGTTGATGGTTTGATAGTTCTGTACTTCATATACTTGGTGTTTTTTGTCATCAAAGACTGTTTCCATAAAAATAACAACAAAAAAACCCCCAAACCCTATAGGGCATGAAGTTTACCACTGAGTTTAACAAGGTAACTATGTGTTTCGCCAGAAAATTTACTGAGTAGTTGACTAAAAGAATGACCATCTCGAGCTGCATGACCTTCAGGCTAGTGTCCTTTAAAGGTCTTTACGGTTCTAGGGAAGTTCAAAGACAGCCAGATGTATACTAAGGAAGACTGACGGCTATCAGCACCACCAGGTCAGCTCAAGTATAAATTGTGTATCTTGTAGCAAAAGCTTATCTAATAAATATAGCAAGTACATGATGCAAGGCTGCAAAGCATCTGTACATCTTGATATAAACGGAACACCAAAAGGATCACAGATGAAATGTCAGTGACCTTGAAAACAGAAAAGATTCCTCTGGAATCTTCCTTTTGGTAACCTTAAATCATTTGAGCAATACTTACCAAACACACAGCCTGTATCAGGCACTGCGCTGAGCTCCTTACAGGCATTATTTCATTGAATCTTCACAACAACCTCGAGACAGGCACCATTAAATATCCTCGTTTTACAAATCCAAACAGTGAGGTGAAAGAGGCGACAGAGGTACTTGAGGTTTGGGAAGTGGAAGAGCCAGGATTTAAATTTGGAATTCCCAGACTCAAAAAATGTTTTGTTAAGAATTACAATACACAGCTTAACTACATTAAGAGTATTCTTAAAATTTGGTTTTGCTCATTGTTCACTATAGGTATTTTAAAATGTGTTACATCTTGTCTCATAGGGCAAGCTAATTTCTAACTGATAGCTACTCACAAACATCTTTTAAAACTAATTGTTGTGATTGAACTTTGAATAATTTGTTTAGATTTGTGCATTTGACTACTTTGTTCTGTGATCCACAGGAAACCTTAGACTATTAAGATCTAGGTTTACTTGTATTTGCCTTCTTAGTTCCTCAAACAGTAAGTTTTTCATGTAGTAGGCACCCAAAAAACAGACTGAGTCAACTGAGTAAGGCAGAGCTGGATGAAGTTGTATAGTTTCATTCCCAATTTGCTTTTGACACTCTGAATATAAGAACATATATTCCAAAATAAACATTCTGTGGTTCTATTTAACTGTTTTCAATATTATATGTTGTTAAAATGCTTTATGGTAGACAGATTATAAAAAAATTAAGTGAATTTAAAGACACAACTAAAATTTAAAGCTATGTACTTTCAAAATTAGTATAAGTTAATTTTCAAGGGAATTGGATTTGACATTTTCTTGCATTTATATTATTAAAGTGAATTTATTGATAGGTCTTGCAAATAACCAGTAAAATTAATTATGCAAAAGTTAAAGGGAATCTCCTGTCTTTATCAATCTTGGAAAATAATTTGGTTTTCCTCTGGTAGATCATAATCACAGATACAAGTAATTTAAGGACACCCTGGTAGTAGGCTCCATAGCTCATGAGTTAGAGCACTGGTCTTGTAAGGACATCCTGTCTGGAAACTGTGGGATGACATTGCCATCTAGTGGTCATTTTCTGCTGCAGGTGATGTCCCTCAAGCACCCATCTTTACATCTCTCTGGATTACAGTCTTTGAGGGAGGAACTAATACATCTCACGTATTTTCCTTCTTTCCTTCACTAAGTACTTGTTAATGTTGAAGTGCACGTGCTGGACCCACCCAGCTATGAATAACAGAAAAAACTTCTCCACTCCTCCCTTNCCGCCGCCCCGTCTTCTACTTCTACTTAAGCCTGCCTAAAATCTAGCAACTGTAAAAATTGTGGTGGGTCTATCTCAAGTTTCTGTTCCCATGACCACATTACCAATTTAAATAGCACAAAATAAAATTATGCATTACTGGCTTATTCTTAATGGAGAATAAAAAAAAATAAATAAATGGCAGTGAATTTTTTCAGTGGTTAAATAAAGTCCAACCATTTTAAGCAGAATTTCAAAAAGATAAACATCGTTATTATAATTCTAATAGCTACACTTTACTGAATGCTTATAAAGTGCTAGGCATTATTCTAAGTGCTTTCTGTGTATTGCCTCAGGTAGTCCTCAAAGTAGTTATACATCCGATTTTAACATTAAAACCGATGTGGTGCAGGACAGAAAGAGGGAGAGAGAAATAGGACTTGCCTAAGGTGTTTTCACTAGTAAGTAGAAAGGTTGGGTTTTGAAACCAAGCAATTACCTGTTTTTGGTAGAGAACAAAAAACAACAAAAACAATATTTAGATTTTAAAAATACCCAAATATTCCTAATAAAATTTATTTCGAAAACCAGATTTCATCAGCTATATCAGGCATCAAAATTACTTGTAAAATTGGATTGCTTTAGAATTACTACAATTATTCTTTAAAAAACATGTACTGAATGAGTCAAATTTATACATGAGAGAGGATTTATTTATCTGCCTTGGACCAAAAGACTAAAGGTGGCTTAAAACGGGATCATAGCAACTTTCTGAAAAATATTCAAGGTCTTAAATATATTAGTCTCCCCAAAAGCTAGCTGCTTCCAAGCTTGATTTAATATTTTGCATGTTTTCTCTTCGTTGCTTGGTAAATATATTTGCTTCTCCTTTTTGCAATCGACGTCTGACAGCTGATTTTTGCTGTTTTGTCAATTGACGTTTCACCTTCTGTTTCACCAGTTCCTGGAAAGGTTTCATGAATTAGTATCACTGGTAATTGACTATTTTGATAAGGAGTAAACATTCAATAAAACAAAGGTTTACATTGCTAATATTTTTCAAATTTCTGTTAAGAGCTTGAATTTTAATATTCCAAATACTAACAGTCTATACAAACCAGCAAAATAAAACATCAATTTGTTATAAAATAGGAGAGATAACATACCTAACAGAAATACACATTAGAGCAAACAGTAGCGTATAATCACAATTCTTTGAAAAACAAACCACCCTTGTGCCACCTAGTGTCCATCAGGAAAACTTTAAAAAAAGCAACCCTCAAAACCAAAAAAATCAAAACCAACAAGATAAAAACTACGTGTTCTTCTGCTTCCTAGGTTAAAGTAGACATGTTAATGTAGTGGAAAATTATGTTTGAAAGTATTCACTGCATAAAAACTAGCAACTGTAAAAATCATGGTGAGTCTATTTCAAGTTTCTGTTCCCATGACCACATTACCAATTTAAATAGCAGAAAATAAAATTATGCATTACTGGTAAAAATATATCCACAATATATCCTTCGTAACTTCAGGTGTAAAAATGACCTGATGGCAGCAGTTACCCATGGAAAAGTCTTCATACAGTTTTTGGGAGATGTAGAATGCTTTCTCATAGTAAATGACCATAAATTCAAATTATTTCCTATTAGTTAGGACACAGGCTGCCAATGTCTCACGACTGCCAAGATGATTAAAAAATCTGACTATTCCGTTTCCAGTAACCTTTTCTTTCTCTGAAGCACTATAGACTGTTATTTAATTGTATATAACCTTGCACCATCCAACTTGTCTCCTAAAAAAAGATGACAAACACTGCAAGGGTTGAAGCATGAATCTCTTCTTAATATGCTCCACTCTACATGAGGCACAAAGGTGCATTTATTAAAAATATGTCAAGTTAAAAAATTAAAGAATAATGGAATTGAGAAGTAAAAGTGGGCTACAAGAACTAGTTTGCCTAACACAGTTTCCTGACTTGCATATGTATAATATAAAACTTGGGATGAGATGAGTTAAATGCAGACTGGATTATTTTATCTAGTTAAGCAGACTATATTTCAATTAACAGGCTTCAACAAGTTATCCCTCTTTACTTTAGTCTAATGATTGTCAATGGAAAAGAGGTAAGAGAAGAGAGGGGGAAACAGGGAAAGAATCAGAACTCAAGTTCCTGCAGAGGATGATACCCCCATGAGATGCAGCTCCCCAAACTTAGGAAGGCTGGCGACTTAGAAGGACCTGGTATCACAGAAGTTTCAGAAGCGAAAGCAGGGTTGGCTCAAAGTTTAAAGTGAGACTGGCCTCCAGGACCCTTCTTTACCCCAAGAAGCCAGGCAACTATCATAGTCTCCCACCCCATCAGGATACCAGAACCCTGGAGACAGCATCTCCTTAACTACAACAAAGACAACAGAGCAAATACCTTCAAAATTCTACAGGAAATTGATTTCCAAACCACAATTCTGTAAACTCCCAATCAAGTGTGAGGACAGAATAAAAAGATATTCTTAGTAATAAAAAGTCTCCCCAAAATTCACTCAAATAACTCCTGGAATCTATAATGCCAATAAAGAAATAAAGGAGGTAAGAAAAGTAGATGGAACTAGGAAAGAAGACACCGAACAAATAGGAGATGAAAAGTTCCAGGAAAACAACAGTAGAGGGTACACCATATTTAAACTAGAGGAATTCAGAGAGGCCTCCAGAATATTTTCAAGAAAAAAAACCCAATTTCTTTTCCAAATATTCTGCTTGAGTTTCCCCTTGGTTCTCCACTTCAATTGGACCTTAAGATAATCATATCAAGCTGCTAAAGAAAATAAGGAGATAATGTATTACTGTGCATCTACCTTTTCCTAATCCAGGATAATTTACAAATCCTGCAATGTAATTTCCTTCATGTTAACAAAAATGGAAGAAAAACCCCATTTGGTGTTTTTTTTTTAATGATGAAACATGAACTAAAATACTTGTATATTATCTCAGGGAGTATATAACAAAAATCAATGAAAATCATGTATGTTGTTGTTTGTTGTTTTTGATGGTAGCTGCATACATACTAAAATGAAATATACCTTAATTTTATAATTTAATTCTGTTACATATTAGAAAGAACAGGGTTCATAAATAGCAACTTTGTCAATAAACAGGGAACTAAAAAAGCTATTTTAGGAAAACAGACCTTACAATTATAATTTCAAAGAACAGAGAGAGAATCTTTTACCTTTGCACAGACCTCAAGACAACAATCATCAAATTAATGGAGGTAACAAAATAAAGTTTATTTTCTCCTGACCTTTTAAACAAAACGTGACCTCAAAGAAAACAGTGTGACCAAATTTCCAAAAGAATAGAGTTAAGATGATCAATTTGTTTCCAATTATTAGAGGGAAACCTTTTTGATAAAGCTAAGGTAGAGAGATCTTTTTTTCTCCTTAGAAAGCAAATTTGTATTTTATAATGCAATTCATTATAGGCCTGACCCATTGTAAACGTTTAAGTTCCTGCTGTTAGCAGGAAGGGAAATGTAATAACATCAAGACCTAAAGACAAGGTCAGTGCCATCATCTTTATACCAGGGGTGCCAAAAAAATGTACACATTTTAAGAGATGTTATCTATTACTTTTCAAAGTAGAATTGAATTACAGTAGCAATATGTAGTATGACGTTTGCTCAAAAGATGGCGTTAATCAAATGAATGCTAGTGCCATTCACTGTACTACAATTTCAGTTTTTTCCTTTCTCAAATAAAATGTGTATAAATTTTTCCCTCTCTATATAGAAAGGCATAAATTAGAACCTAAGAAAGTAGCATGAATTAGTAATCTCACTTTTCTTTACATTCAACTGCCAATGTAATACCACTGTAATAAGATATAAAAGCGCTTATGCTTTGAATCTTATAAATCAAAAAAAGGAGGGTAAATCTCAATAAATATAGAAAATATCAAAGCCAAGAGTGGGCAGAAAACCATGAAGTGTGAGACAGTCATATAAAAACAGGTGATAAAACTTAAAAGGATATTTTCATCTTTTAATATAATTAATAGATACTTCAAAGATTATACAGATTTAAATTTTATGTCTAGAAAACCAGTAAATTATGAGGCCATCAGAAAAGAGTATATAAAAATCAACACATTTCTAGAATTTTGGTCTGACAAGGTCTAAATGTTTCTATTATCAAGTAAAGGTCCCAGAACTGCTACAAGTGTGCTATATAAAATACAGTACTGCTATTTTTAGCTTGTTTTTGGTAATTCAGGTTTAATTTTGTAAATATCCGATGTTACCTACCACAAGACATACATTTTAACTTACTGACAATATGCCTGAACTTGAAAATGGAAGGTTCAGGGAAAAACAAAAACAAATTCTTTTCTTTTGAATTCATTTTCCACATAATTTTATTTTCTCCTTTCTACTTTCTGAAATGATTTTCTTCTTTTCCTCATTTTATCACTAAAAACTGGTTTCAATAGTATTCAACATAATACCTTTAAGCAGAAGGAAAAACTCAATAAACCAATTATGTAATTTTATTTCTCCTTAAAATCTACAAAAAAAGGAAACTCACTCTTCCTTTTGGGGTAGCTCAGAGAGAAGGCTGGCAGGCAGACAAGCTCCTCAGCGGGCGCTAGAAGATCTGTGCTCATTATCCTGTCCGGAGAATGTCTCTCATGAAACTCCTTTGGACATTGCTTAAATGTCCAACAAACACTTGAAATACCAAAAATTTAAGAACTACCTATTTTTCTCTTTTGAAATTTAAGAACAAACTAACTAGTGGTGCTGTCACTCACTGGGTAACCCTGAGCAACGTCATGTAACCTATCTGAGCCTCAATGTCCTCATTGTTAAAATGTGGGGACTAGACCATATGAGACTCTACAAAGCCCTCTTGGATCTAAATTTCTATGATTTTATCCTTCATATCCAAGCTAACTTACATGCTGTCTTTTCCCTGAAAGCTCTGATCATTTTCAGCTAAAAGTGAACTCTGTTGTATTACTAAATTTGTACTTTGTTATAATTTTATCCTGTTAACATGAGGTCCAAATGGCTGAGACTATCTTGTATATCATGTAATCCTCACAGTGCCTCAGCTCAGTAATCTGTCCACAGTAGTGATCTAATAAACATTTGTAAGTGTTGAATGGATAGTTACCGGAGGAATTGTTGAACAGCTTAACACACTACCCGCAGAAGTAACACTCAGAGTTCTTGTTCTATATTGATTCATATCTTCCATATTTTCTTCATCTCTAAAATAAAAAAAAAATCACAATTTATCTAGTTAATTTTCATAGTTAATTATGTTTAATTAATTTATATCATTCCTTACATGATAATAAAACTTAAAGACATAAAATACCTCAGAAATGTTATATTTAAAAGTTTTGTGAAGGTAAAACTACCCACAATTAAGCCAAATATATTAACAATTTTCATTTTTCAGCATTCTGATTGTCACTATCAAAATTTCAAAATGATAGAATGTTTTGGCCATAAAAATCTGTTATCACTTAGCCACAATTCATGTCTTTTTCCCCCTTCTTTCACGGGAACTATACACAAATCTGCCTCTTACAATCTAAATCCTTAGGACGCTTTCTTGCCATCTTCCCAAAGAAAAGTAGATGTAATGGAAAGAGACAGAAAAAACTGCAATAACAGAAACTGTCTAATTTGTTTTACACATTGCTCAAATGATATGAACTCTTAACAGTCAATTATTTTTCAGCAACATCTGTTATCTTATATTTCTACTTTGAAAAATAAAAATTTTGCCCAACGTGTTTAGAGAATGAGAACAAATTATTCTGTGCTTAGAAAACTGTTTAACTTACATAGATTTTCTTGTATTACTCAAAGTCGTAAGCCACTGCCACTCCTGATTCTAATTTAATTTTATGTTTATTATTCAAGTGGTAATGGCCCCAAGTCTCAAGATATGGTTACATGGCAAAGAAAAAGAATTCTTGTGTTTTGCTCACAATAAAAATGCTAACCATAAAGGCAACCATAGGATGCAGACCTAAATATGTACTGAGAAATGCCTGATAAATGTACTGCTGATTTAATTTTAATTGTCATATTACTATTTTAAAATAAATAAAACTATTTCATTAAACTATAGTTCTTTATTCTGGGTAAACTATCCCAAATCTAAAAATTAAATTTTTGATCTTTTGCTAATCTGTGGCTGATTAATACCTGCAAAAAACAATTCTTTTTTTTTTTTTTTAAGCTAAGTCATCTTGCTGCCTATTGGCAGACAAAAAACAATTCTGAAAAGAAAAATCATATAGCATTATGTAATTTCACATGAACAAAAAAGAACAGAAGGTTCAAAGTACCAGAGAAAAGTCACTGTTAAGATCTTTTATGAAGAAAGCACATTTACTGCAGATTTATTGGCCTATACATAAATTAAACATACATTAGATATGTGGTTATGAACAATTCGTCCACCTAAAAATGTGATCAATTTATCAAAAGACCTGTATTAAAGTAGCCAAATTGTATTTTAAGGCAGAATGCTTAAACTTGAATCAATATGCTGTATAGGATCTGGTGGATTGAGGAGGATAATTGGAATTTTAACAAAAGGGCTATTTGCTTTCCTTTTACACACGGTATGGCACAGAAAACAACTCACACATTGTTTGAAAAAAATACTCATTGACCAGAATGGAAGAAAGTACAGGGCTCCAGATTAAAGACAAAAATCAAACAACAGAAATCTACACCTAAAAGGCCTGCATTCTATACCTGAAAGGCATGAATTCTTTGTTGAATGAGGACAAGGCAATGAGATGAGGGCATTCATCTTCATCCTCTTCAGAGCCTGTGGGGATTCCTCCGTGACCTGTCTTACCATCTTGCCTGGTGTCATTTTCAGTTTTGTTTTTCTCTTGAGAAAACTCAGTTACAGAATTGTTTTCAACAACCTGCCCTTTTATTTCTTCTAAAGCTTGACTGAATCCAGTCATTTCCAAATTGTGTGCAGCAGCACTCCCCTCTGACAAATTGTCTTCCTGTATTTGTTCAAGGTCTCCAGGTGATCTGCAACAACAGTCAACTGATTCATCTACAGAGTTTTGTTCACTTTGATTTTCTGACCTATAAACCTTTGCTTTTTCTGATACCTCTTCGTCAGAAAGTGAGAATTCAGATCCCTCCTCTGTTTCGATACATTTATCATCTGGACCTATTGGATGAAGCAGTTCATCATCTGCCTGCATTTCCTTTGTGTAGCCACTGGCAGAAACCTCTACATCAAGAGAGTCCTCCCTCCTAGGAAACAAAAGCACGCCAAGTATTCAGAGAGGAAAAATACCATCTGGCATGGATAAATATTTATTATCCTGATAAGTTATAATTCTCAAATGTATTTAACAGCTCATATATTTGAAAGATTTTCTTTGCCTGAAATGTAATACTTGAATTACTTAAGTATACAAATGTAAAAGATATATGCTGGTTGTCATTTACGAATAAAGTAGTATCAGTGAAAAGCAATAGATACTAGTAGAAAGGTTATAGAAACTTTAGTTGACATTTACTCACTTAATAAATTAACCTTCAAAGCAGGTAAAGAGTTCTTTTAAAATATGTTAACCATCCCAAATCAGAAAATAATTATCTTAACTAAGTGTATAAAATAAATGAGAAAATATGGCTTTGAGAACGTACATATAATTAGGTTCCATGAATCAATTAAAAATAGCTCCTGTTCTAAATAAAGGAAAAACACAAATTCTGATAAACACTTGACTTGAATCCTTACAAATAGATTATTCACATAGCATCCTACATTGAATAAAATTCTTGACTTTATAAGAAACTGGGTATATTCATCCCCAAAATTCATTAACACGCCTTAATGGACCCAAAGCAGGAATATTCTAGTTTTTAAGTTTCATTTATATACTACACAGCAATGATGCTCAATAATGATATTAATGTGTCAAAGATCACAATTTGGAAAATTTTTAGATGAAAGTGTTAATTTTTAGAACTAAATAAATCAGGTATTTAACAGAGTTGTATCATTTTAAGCAATGCAGAGTACAAACCTGATATCACTAAAGACTGGATAAAGCTCACTTTCATAGCCGAAACGTTTCATGAAGAAATCTCTAATGCATTTAACATCTCTGTCAAAATACCTGCAAAAGCAAGAATCATTTTTGATATAGCCCTTGTTGCTCATTTTTCCCTTATTAGCCAATGACAATATCCTTATTATCTGATATGACACTTCTACTCCCTACATGAAAGAGAAAAGGATGTTACTCAAAAGAAAAAAAAAATACACAGTTGACAGTGTATTTGAAACACTAAAACTAAAAGGAGGGTAACTAACAAGTAATATAAGCTGTCAAAGGCATACAGTTTCTATGGTTAGAAAACTCAAGGGTTTCCCATAATGTCACAGACATACTAAGAGAAAGTGAATATGAATTTCAGAAAAGGAGGGTATGAGCCTATAATTTGGGGGCAGATTTCCACTTTTCCTCTTTAGTCTCCAGTCTGGTTATACTTCCCATCAGCTATACCCACTACGACTGGGTCAATTAGGAAAGCTGAAGATAAAAACGGATTAGTGACATATAAGAAAGTTTGACTACTGAATTACGTTTATGTACCTTTATTATCCATTAGCTGATTTGCAATAACATCCAAAAGAAATAAATAATGCTGTGGCTTATAATGATCTGGAGACACCTTAATCTGGACAGAAGAACCTCTGAATATCAGGGTCCTTTTTAGGTCACCACAAAGCAACAAGAACAGATTAATTCTCTGGGTTTCCAAATAAAGGAGAATTAAGATACAGGGTGACATGGGATTGACTATCTCCTTGAATTTTAACTAAATTATTATTTTAGAGAAAGATGAAATGGGAAGGCAATGCCACTATTCTTCACTCTTAGGGTACCCTGGGAAAAACCTCAATAAATTATTTTAAAATTATATGTTTATTTATGCATATGTCTTACCTACTACACAATAACTTCTTCAAAAACAGAAATAGGCATTATTTGTATCTTAATCTCTAGTGTCTTAGCACAACTCATTCATCATAGTACTTGCCCATAAAAGTTCAAGTTAAATCACAATGTCTTCAAGAATAATGCAGCCTTAACTTGGATGTCATAATCTGTTATCACGTCTGTCTCTAATTCTGGCAGTTCCTAGATGTTCCTTCATTGTGTGACTGTGGTATTCCATTTTAATAAAAATGGTGATTGGTCATCATCTAAAGCAGCGGTTCTCAACCTGTGGGTCGAGACCCCTTTGGGGGTTAAACAACCCTTTCACAGGGGTCGCCGGGTACTCGTATGTGGGTGTATCTGCATGTGGGCCTGGAGACAGATAGAGGAGCGGTGTCTTGGTTCCTAAGACCATCGAAAATATGTGTTTTCCGATGGTCTTAGGCGACCCCTGTGAAAGGTTGAGAACTGCTGATCTAAAGATAAACCAACCACCCAAGCGCCAGGCATTAATCTGATAGGATTGTTTTGTTGGAAATATTTTTTAAGCTTATTTTTAAATGACATTTCTTTTTTTTAGAATAAGCATAGAAATTTTCTAATAAAAATCAGGAGGAAGAACCTCTGGAACACAAACTGGTTCGAGCTCCAACTTTGCTCATAATACATTATGTAATTAATAACAGTTATCTTTGTGAAAAAGGAGAAGCTTCTCATATTATAACTTGGAACAGGAGGAGAAAAAATACTTTTAATTTGATTATGCTCAATTGCATCATGGGATACAAACAAATAAAGGAAAATATCCTGTCATATTTGAGAGCTTGGCTGGTTTAAGTGGTTAAGCAATGTGAGGAATAAGATTATCACAAAGTGATATATACACAATGATTCTGCCCTGTGTCAGGGATGAGGTTTTTATGTGAATTCTTTTCTAATAATAAAAGCTAAAAATGATATAAGAGATCACTGGTGTGGCAACTGAGTCCAGTCCAAATCCACAACTGTTATTAAGACCACCAACGTTATGGAATTGTGCTTGGTGAAGCCCTCCTGGTGACAGCCACGGGGAAGAAAGAAATGCAGAAAGACAGAGAGAGCGGGTTCCCCCACCCAGGTGCCTACTTCTTCCGAGCAGACTTTTGTTTTAAAAATTGGGCTTCCACCTGAAAGTCTGTTTGAATAAAGGGTTCCCATGGCTAAGAAAATTTTACTTTTGAAAGTCTGTCAGATTACAAGAGTAATTTAAATTGTTCTGATGGTTTATAACAGCAGGCAGTTTCTTCAGGTTTCCAATACATAGCATAAGCTTAAGGAATAGGTTTCAAAAACTGGACCAAAGTGCATTTCCCTCCCTTTAAAATACTGAGGGATAAGAAAGATTCTCTTAAGGGGAAAATCCTAGTAGTTTGATATCATTTAATAAAAAAAGCCCAAATTTTAGACCATGAACATCAGCCACTTCAAACCAGTTGACCCAAATGACAGTATTACAGTTGAAAATTACGAATAAAAAAATGATTGCATCACACATAACACACCCACATTCACAATCAATTTCAGCATGGAATATACCATTCAGCATTGGGATGAGAAGTTGAAACCATTTGTGGAAAATCAATCATGGTGATGTGGTCGTCTTTGTCTAAAATGAGATTGAATTCATTGAAATCTCCATGAATTAGCCCATGATTTGCAAGTTTGACAATTAGTTCCATCGCTTCATCATATACTGATGCAGGATCTTCAACGTGGTGTACCTGACATCTGAAAATATTTTAAGTATGAAAATAGGTTATTTGTACTCATTCATGATTTTGATGAAAGCAAGTGAGTGGGTATATATATTTCCATTTCTTGTTTCCCTAGCAGTTTTCATTCCCAGCAGCATACAGACATAACATCACCCATCTATTAAAAAAATAAAAAGCCACATCCTGCTGCGATTCTGTATCCTTTCCACTGCCACATACTTTCTTTGATCCTCTTTATAGCCAGACTCTGATACATGTACTTTTTCCAGTTTTTTCCTCCCACTCTAATGAACCCATTACAAAAAGGCTTTCTTCATCTAACTTGTTTCAATAAAATATCTCTTGTCAGACGACCAATGGCTTCCATGTTGCTAATAAATCCAAGGGTCAACTTCTGGTCTTCACCGTATTTGGTCTGTCAGTTAACGTCTTCTCCCTCCTTGATACACTTCCTTCACTTGACTCTTGGTATACCAACTCTTTAGGCTGTCTTCTTTCTACACTGATCATCCTCCTTAGTCTCTTTTGCTAGTTCTTTTCCTTCTCCCTGACCTTGAAATTTTGGAATTCCTCCAAGGTTAATCTTAATCATAGGGCCTCTTGTCTTAGTTAAAATCATTCTTAGTGATCTTGTCCAGGCTCATGGCTTTAAACACCATACAGATATACTGACTTCAATCTAGACTGCCCCAAACTCCTAGGCATCTCAAACCTGCCATATCCCAAACTGGACCTCTGATTCTGCCCAACCGCCTAACTTCAAACTGCTCTTCAGTCTTTTCCATTTTTGTAAATGTCAACTTTATCCCTCCAATTAATCTGTCATTTAGGTCCAAAGCCTGGATGTTATCCTTGACTGGCACCTTCCTTCATATCAATATCCAACCCCAAACAAATCATGTTGGCTCTTTCTGAAAAATATATCCAGAATCCGACCACTTTTCAACACCTTGGTATCTATCACTCTGATCCAAACTACCGTCATCTCTTGACTGGAATATTACAATAATCTCCTAACTTGTCTTCCTAATTCTGGCATCATCTCCTTTTAGTCTACTCTCAATATAGCAGTCAGAGTGATTCTATTAAAACATTAGTCATATCATGTCTCTTCTCATTTCAAAATCCTCCAATGGTTTCCTATCTTAATCAAAATTAAAAAAGATCCTTGTGCTAAATATCACTACAAAGGCAATACCACTTTAAAAGTACCAAATCAACCTGTTGTACACCTTAAATTAACACAATATCATGTGTCAAATATATTTCAATAAAAAAAGATTACGAAGGTCTTGCAATAGCTTACAGACCCTAAATGATCTGGTCCCCTGCTGCCTCTCTGATCTTATCACTTATAATTTCAGCTCCAGCCACACTGACATATATCCTCACTGTTCCCTGAAACGTGTGAGCATGCTCCCGTCCCAGGGCTTATACACTTGCTGTTCTCTCTGCCTGGAATGTTCTCTTAGATATCTGCATGGTTTCCCCTCACTTCTTTCAGGATTCTGCTCAAAAATCACCTATCAATGAAACTTTTCCTGGCCACCCCATGTAAAATAGCAGCCTTCTACACCCATCTCAGTCCTCCCTGCCCCCTTAACCCATTTTATTTTTATCCATAACATTTACTATCACTTGATATATATTTAGCTATTTACTGCATGTCTCCTTCCATCAGAATATAAGCTCTGTGAGGGCAGGGACTTTGTCTTGTTTACTGCTGAGCCTGGAACAGTGCTCGGCACATACTAGATTAATAATTGTTGAATGACTCACAGAGATTACAAAATATATACTGTTAGGATGAAATCCAATTTTCATTTGCCTTTGAGTCTACTGCTGTATGTTAATTTCTAACTTCCCAGAAACAATATTTCGTTTAATTAAAAAATATATATTTTTAAAAACTGAACCTTATATAATTATTTATTAGGATCCATGGTTTCAAGAATAATATATACTTACAGAGGATAGCCATTTATGAGTTCCATGACCACTGCATGGCGATTATAATCAATTGGCTTTGGAACTGGAAATTTCCTCTCATACAATGCCTAAAACATAGCAAAAGTTATAAACTAATGAAGAGGTGATTAATTTTTTAGGGAATAAAAGTAAACACATCTACCCACAACCAGAAGTAAAACATACAAAGCTTTACAAAATTACAGTTAACACATGATTATTTATGTATGGCTTATTCACAGCATAGAATTAGCTGTACATAAAAAAAAACCCAAAACAAAGTTTAAACCAGTTTATTTTTTCACCAAACATTCATTTATTGAACATAGTTATTATACACTGTGCTAGGGATATAAAAATGAGTATGAAAGAGCCTCTGCCTTTAGAATACATCCTCATTTGTTTTGTAAGTTTCTATCATTATGGGAGTGAGTGTGTTTAAAGAAAATCGAATGGAAATAAATTGTGACTTAAGAAGTACTCGGTCTTCTGGTATATTGGGATATGAAACATTCCAATAGATTAGGCATTTTAGTTTATAGAACACTGACCTTTTCATCAGGCTACAATATATGATATAAGTACCATGTGACAAACATACACACTGTTGTAGTAGTCTGAGTCAAATGTTGCTTCAGATCATCCATAAATCCAGCTTTTCTCCTGTGATTAACTTTTTCTATCTTATTGTTATTACTTCCTTCAAAATACATGTAAGATTTATGCCCTCTACCATTTGAAATGCTACCTTTCTAGGCCTTTGTCACTTAGACCTGATCACTCCACCAGTGGTTCTAGCTCTTGCCACCAAACCTAACCTTTATTCTGTGTACCAACAGCAAACTAAGATGCTTATGCCAGTGCTCAATTAAAAAAAAAAATCTACAATGGCTATAAATATTGATTTTGAACAACTTTTTCTAGTTTTTAAAACTCTCTTTAATCCAGTTAACCAATACTCTCGCCAATAAGCACTCTGGAGCGCAATCAGGACAGCTTGTGTCTATCACCTAGACACACAGGGAACACCTATATCCACATCTTTGCCCAAAGTGGCTTCTCTGCAAGTACACTGTTTTACTGCCTTTTCCTTATAGCAGAATCATATGTGTGCTTTGTAACTTTACCCAACTCCTACTCACTTCATGAAACCTCTTTCATCAACTCACTCTACAGAAGTTTCTCTAAACTTCACACATATAATTTGATTGTTAAACTGTTTTTTGTTTTATTTGTGTTTGTGTTATCTTCCTAAATTTAAGACACAGGCTGCACTGGTTCTTCCTTTGGTATCCACCCCTATACCACACCCTACCCCAGTACTTAATACAGTGGTAGGCACACAGCTGATATTCAATATATTCTTATTATTATAACAGGGTTGGTTTTAAAAGGCCGTCTACTTCCTACCTTCTTTGCACTGGAAATAAACTATAATACTTCTCACTCTCCAAAGATTATCTGCTTGGCTTAATTTATTTTTTTTCCCAATGCAAGCTGATTTTAAGCATGCATTGGCACATATAATATTATATAAGCATACAATAACCTCGACTATTGTAGTGGTCTAGCCCTTGTGCCAAGCTATAGCTCAATTTTACCTTATTCTCTGTTAGGAAAATATCAATGTATTTAAGAAGCATATTTAAGCACAACCAAGTTCTATTTTTATACCTTCAATAAATACCCCGAGAAAATACCTAATACAGTTTTGGAAATATGTGTAATGTTTCCTACCAAACTGCCTACTTACTGATTGACCATTATAGGATATAAACCATTAGTTTAAGATCAGAAGATATTCGATTATTAAATATATTTAATAAATCTATATTGAACTTAATTTTAAAGGTAAAAGTTAAAAAACTAATGATTTTTACTATTTGTAATATACATACAAATCTTTAAATTGACAGTTATTCTATTATGTGAAATAAAAAATACCAGTGAACTTATCTGAGACACTAAGGATTCTACAGATGATAACTATCTAGTGTTCTCAATTACAGCTTAGATATATATTCACACATTTGTGAGGCAATTACATCGTGATTTCAGGCTACTCTACCTTGTTAATACTGTAGATTATACATTTTAACAGTTAAAAATATCCTCCCAAAGATGGAAATCACCAGAAAAACAAATAACAGAAATGAATCAATAGAGATAAAAATCACTGTAAGGACTGGGACTGGAAGTAGGGGGGTGTGGGGGCACCAGACTGATGCTTGTCACTACAGCCTTTCAGCTACATTATTGGTTAAAAAATGAAAAAAAAATTAAAATACCTTCATATAGGCAAATTCTTTCATGGCAGAGAGACGAGATAAATAAAGCCAAGACATGTTATGCCTGTGTTTATGGTAATCTCGCTTGTTTTTCAGATTTCGAAAAGAGGTTCTTCCCAGTCTGTGAAGCTTTAATGCAAATTGCTGACCTTCTCCATTTGCAACAATATAAATATCTAGAGCCGAGATTTAAAAAATATTATTATACTTCTTTGCCAATAAGTTGAAGCAATTCTAATTATCTAACTTTGTCTCATTTTATTTGTATCAAAATTTATCTTTCTTCATAACCAGGAATACTTACCATTTAGCAAAATTATTTCATTATAATCCAAAATAATAAGATGATGTATTAATATCTACTACAAAATAAAACAATGATGCAATGTGTCAAGGTTGTTGCTTCCAAAGATACTCAATGATCAAGTTAATTTAAGGAATAAACATCTAATTATTCCTTAGTGCCCTGTATGTATAAGAAATGATTTAATAATCTTCCTTTTCAACATAAAGTTCAATTCTTAATTGCTTCAATGAATAATGCTCAGTTGTTAGACTATAATCCTATAATCGGAATGGAGCAGATCATCCCATTAAGTATTTCAACTATTAAACAAGTTGCTATTTGTAATATTGACATTTAGAAAGTTTTAAGTATTCATGAGAAAGTTTATTACATTCCTATAAAGAAAAAGCCTCTTTCTTATACTGGTGGGATTATAAACTGGTGCAAACTTTCTGGAGAGAAATTTGGTTACATAAAAATTTTAAGTATACATAACTTTTGCCCTAATAATTCAATTATTAAGAATGTATTTATAAATTTATTTGCACAGAGATGCCTGTACAAGAGTGTTAACCACGTTACTTACAAAAAAAGACTGGAAATAACTTAAATGCCCATAACAACTGGGACTGGTAAAATCAATTAGCGAGCAGCCATACAAGGTGATACTCCAACTATGAGAAAGCCCTATCTGCTGATATGAAATGATATCAAGGTGCAGAACAGTAAGTGCTGTTTGCTTTCACCTGTGATTAAAAAGATATGTGAATGGACATACATCTATCCTTAGTACATATTTATATTTACATAGAATGTTTTTAGAAAGCTATGTAAGACATTAATATACTGCAATAGCTTTGGGAAATAACAACAGGAGATTGAGACCTGGGTTAGAAGTATGATTTACTTTCTATAGTATTCTCTTTTGTATTATTTATTGTTTTGTATGCAATGAAGTTCTTAACAAGGAAAAAGTTACTACTGTTTAGATTGAAGACAATAGGACATAATTAAGAGCAAGTTTATTCAAAAGGTGCTTCATGATCTCATTTTATACGTTTTACACACACACACACACACACACACACACACACACACACGCACACACTGCTGTATTTAGCATGCTTGTATTACTTATTAAATATGCACCGTAATCTGGATATTAATACAGAAGACATACAAGCCATCTGAAGTACATAGCAACCTCCTTTGGAGTGGGCTTCCTAATAATTATTTTACTTCCAACTTTAATTTTGCTTCTTCTGTTTAGATAAATAATGTAACTATATAAATTACATAGGATAGAAAGCAGTGTATAACCTCTTATATCATGGTATAAAGAAAATCATTCCCTGTTCTTCATTTCTCCTTGTCTTCCACATAGAAAATAAATACATAGATATTTGTTCAACGCTATTTTAGAATGCTTTTTTCTGTCTTCCACACATACCTAACTTTGCCTTCTTGATTATCTTGCTGTGAAGAAAACAATGTTTGTGGTTTGTAGATATTCACTATCTTCTAGTACTTCCTTGTGTCACATATTTTTAACTATTAAAAATGTCCAATTTACCAAAAATAAAAGAAGTGCAAACAAAATATTTGCCAAAGATTTCAGTTATTAGAGGAAAACTAATTCTTGGTATACTTAATTTTCAGTGATAGACATGACAAAACAATAAGCTACTACACTAAAGGTAATTTCATAATCTGTATTGTTTCTAAACAATTTTCCAATTTACTGTGTAGTTGGAAAAAATAAAAAAACATAAAGGTGAATACTTTCTCAAAGAGCATATAAAACTAAAAGCAAAGAAAACGTGTTCAATAGTACCGTTAGCACTTACCAGATTCTTTGCCAACACCCATCTGGTTTCCAACAGACTCAACTACCTGTCTAGAAGAAAGTGCTTTCAAAGCTAGGTAATCATAGCCTGCGTTTGTCAACCGATAGCCCTGGACAGCTAAGACAAAGGCAAATGAGAAAGACCATATTTTAGTTACATTGTACCACCAAGTCACATCAGTGCAAGTTATGGGAAGAATTGAGACATGGGAAGTCTTAGCTGGAAAAAGATTAGCTATCCAGATTTATAAGTTTGGCATTTCTTCCTATAATTTTTATTTCTTCTCTAGAACAGTGTTACTCAAAGTGTGATCCACAGGCTTAACATCAGTCTGTTTGCTACTAGTCTGTGACAAGATACAGAAATTGAAACGAAGTGGCTACATTAAAATTTTTTTATATCCATTTGACCAAGTTATGGTATGTCTTCAACTCTTAATAAGGGATTTGGCCTATATTTCATCAGTTAATTTCATTTTTCTAGAAATCACTTTATTATTTTATAATAAAGTATGGATCTAGGTAGTTGAAAGAAAGAAACTCATCCCTCAACACAAATGATTTGAGCAGCAATGTCTTGTGGCAGATTGCATTTTCCAAAGATGGCACCATCAGTATCTCTATCCTGCTTGCTCTTATCCAGCTGGGTTTGCTAATCCCCTATCAGGAGGTGCAGATTCTTTTCCACCCGCTTTGATCTGGATGGGCACTGTGATTCTTCTAACCAGTGGTAGAAGTATGCGGTGTCATTTCTAGGGCTAGTGTTTTTCTGGTCTGGCAACTTCCACTTCCTGCCTTTTGGGATGTCTCCTCTGGGGGAAGCCACTTACATGAAAAATCACAAATGGTACCTCAAATACTTACTTTTGGTACGCTCCCAAGCTATGAGTTTATGCTTCACTAATTCTCTTAAAACTTTATTACAGCCACCATGTTTAAGGCTGGCTATCGAAGCAACCAAACTGCA